CATTTTTTGGTGACACATTGGTGGGAATTTATGAAAACTGGAGCAGCTGCGCACGGCGACCAATCAGCTTCCCTCTTCAGTTTGCTCAGTTCAGATTTAAATATGAAAGAGAGAAGCTGATTGGTTGCCAGGAGCAATTGCTCCAGTTTTGTTAAATTCCCTTCAGCGAGGTTTCTTTTGGCGGTATTTAATCAGCACGGGGGAGGGGGGGGTTTACTATATAAGGACGAAAGTACCCAAAAAAAAAAACTTTTCCCTACATAATGTTGTAAAACATTTATCAGCAACCCATTTTGTGGTAAAATATAAAAGTCGGGGTCACGTCGGGTAAATAGACACCAAACATATTGCTCCCACTGCGACGATATGTAACATGTGCGGCACTTCCTGTTATAGGGTGGCAACTCTCTGTCCTTGTTCCATGCACTTCGTGTTATAGGGTGACAATTCTCTGTCCTTGTTCATGCACTTCCTGTTATAGGGTGACAATTCTCTGTCCTTGTTCAGGCACTTCCTGTTATAGGGTGACAATTCTCTGTCCTTGTTCAGGCACTTCCTGTTATAGGGTGACAATTCTCTGTCCTTGTTCAGGCACTTCCTGTTATAGGGTGACAATTCTCTGTCCTTGTTCAGGCACTTCCTGTTATAGGGTGACAATTCTCTGTCCTTGTTCAGGCACTTCCTGTTATAGGGTGACAATTCTCTGTCCTTGTTCAGGCACTTCCTGTTATAGGGTGACAATTCTCTGTCCTTGTTCAGGCACTTCCTGTTATAGGGTGACAATTCTCTGTCCTTGTTCAGGCACTTCCTGTTATAGGGTGACAATTCTCTGTCCTTGTTCAGGCACTTCCTGTTATAGGGTGACAATTCTCTGTCCTTGTTCAGGCACTTCCTGTTATAGGGTGACAATTCTCTGTCCTTGTTCAGGCACTTCCTGTTATAGGGTGACAATTCTCTGTCCTTGTTCAGGCACTTCCTGTTATAGGGTGACAATTCTCTGTCCTTGTTCAGGCACTTCCTGTTATAGGGTGACAATTCTCTGTCCTTGTTCAGGCACTTCCTGTTATAGGGTGACAATTCTCTGTCCTTGTTCAGGCACTTCCTGTTATAGGGTGACAATTCTCTGTCCTTGTTCAGGCACTTCCTGTTATAGGGTGACAATTCTCTGTCCTTGTTCAGGCACTTCCTGTTATAGGGTGACAATTCTCTGTCCTTGTTCAGGCACTTCCTGTTATAGGGTGACAATTCTCTGTCCTTGTTCATGCACTTCCTGTTATAGTGTGACAACTCTCTGTCCTTGTTCAGGCACTTCCTGTCTGACAACACTCTATCCCTGTTTCCTTATTGTGCCCCTGGTGGAGACTGCGACTGTCCCACACTTGTTGTTCCATTGTTGTTGTCAGAAGATTCCTCGCCCGGCTTTTCTCCCGGTAATTACGGGCAGAGAGCGGCAAATGTTTCGTGTAGAAAACACCCAAAATTTGTTAAAATTGGAGAACATTTTGTAGAATTTTTTTTTTTAACTTTTCTATG